TAATCTATCACATTACAGTACTGTTCGCTATTAGTAATCTATCACATGACAGTATTATTCGCCATTAGTAATCTATCATATTACAGCATTGTTCGCTGCAGGGGCTCTTTGACATTACAGTATTGTTCGCTATTAGTAATCTATCACATTACAGTATTGTTCGCTTTTAGTAATCTATCACATTACAGTATTGTTCGCTATTAAAAATCTATGACATTACGGTATTGTTCGCTATTAGTAATCCATCACATTACAGTATTGTTCGCTATTAGTAATGTATCACATTACAGTATTGTTCGCTATTAGTAATCTATCACATTACAGTATTGTTCGCTATTAGTAATCTATAACATTACAGTATTGTTCGCTATTAGTAATCTATCACATTACATTATTGTTCGCTGCAGGGGCTCTATGACATTACGATACTATTCGCCTTTATACAGCTGGAATATTGATGGGTGCGGCGTTAAACAAGAAACAAACAAGCAATACTATTCACTATATGTGTTCTATGACATTGCAAAATATTGATAGCTATTAGTGATATTTGACATTAAAATATTGTTCGCTGCTGATGCTCTTTGACATTAGAATATTGTCGTTCTCTATGCCATATCCAGATATACCACCGTAACTTATCTAGCAGGCCCCTGTGCTCACTGACCCACGCTAAGAGATGATCAGACTGTGGATTATTTTATTTTTTTAGTAATTATTTTTACTAAAAGCCTAGGCACGTTTAATTAAAACTAGCCAAGTCTAGATTGCTTTATTCCACGTATGAAAACAGCAGAAGAGGAAAGGTTCTTCCAAAGAAAAAAGAACAGAAATATCTTAAAGACATGTTTTCATTAACTAAGTGTTAGTCACTATACACTGCACCCAGGCACCAGCTATTTTCTCATGTCGCTTTATTATAAAATAATAAATATGAAAGAAATTTCTTATTATCGTGACTATCAGTTTGTCTGCCAACATGTTACATCTCGTGCATGGCGTTGCTGGTCCTTTGTCTCAGGAGCTGGATGCATAGCCTTGCTCCAAGGCCGTACTGAAAGATAAGTTCATGGATGTGTAGTAATTCTATCCTCCTAATAGGCAAGTCTAGAAAAGATAAGATAATATTTATTGCAGAAACATTCCATTACGGAACAGATGCAATTATATTAAATAACAAAACATTATGATTCATATATACATACATACAATAGTCATACATTCCTGTAAACACAAAAACCAATATTTTTCAAAATCAATATTACATATTTTATCATACATAAGATATGTCTAGATGTGTGGACAGTAAGGACTCCAGTCTCTTATAGGGACAACTTGTTCTTATTATTTATATAATCTAGAAATTATTATTTAAACTAATAATTATTGCCTTAGAGACTTGTGCAAGTCTAAAACAGGCTTGCAGCACTCGGGAAGCTTCATTTGCCTGGTTTTGTCAAATTCGTGCCGGTCTCATGCTTACATCTCGTCGTGGCTGCATCTGACATGCATGGAACTCCCCACCGGAACCATGGAGGTCAAGTAGACGGTATTTATAGAACAGAGACTGTTGAGCATTAAACATTACTAATGTGCAGATTATAAGCTTTACACGCACAGCCGGGAATGGCGGTACGCGCATGTGTGTAGAATTACGTATAGATCTATACGTATGGTGGACATAGATCAGGGTTGGTATTTTAAACATAGATAGGCACGATTTGCACGTGTAGCAGTAGAGGTAGTACTGTCTGTTGTTAGATATATATCTCCATCCCGTGTCAGCAGCCTCCGTATCCGAGCCAGATAGACTGCGTCTATTTATATACAAGGCGTCAGTGTTTGGTGGCAGACGGGAGATGAGGTCAGGGCGGAGTGATATCCATGTGCTGCACGTGCTCTGACCTTCTCACCGTGGCAGATGAAGGTGATCTTACACCTTGGGTCAACTCCCGAATTACTTGTGATATTTGTCGGGGATAATAATACATGACATATCACTTACATCGTATCCTTCCGCCAGACGAATGAACACATGTCATTCATTCTGTGTTCTTGCGCGGCGTTGAGAAGTGCTCTAAATGCAGGCAATATTTCCCGCGAGGGTTCCTGGGATAGCTAGTATTCCCCCTGGGCGGTGGTGTATTCTAGTGGGTAAAGCGTTCGGTCGTCACACCGAAGAACCGGGTTCGAATCCCGACATGGGTGGGTACAACGTGTGGAGCCCATTTCTGGTGTCCCCCGCCGTGATATTGCTGGAATATTGCTAAAAGCGGCGTAAAGCCACACCAGTGGCACTCGGGGCTAATGGCGGATCATATTGTCATTAATTATTCATAATACACACTAATTATTCATTATACACAGTGGTTGTGAACTTATGGCATTTGGTTGTATGAATATTTCAGTCTTGGTTGTTATACGTCATATTGATGTGGAGTCTGGCACAGCTTGAATAGCCCGGGGGGAAACCAGATGATTGATGTAGACTGGGACACTTGCTAGATGATTGATGTAGACTTGGGCACGTGCTAGATGATTGATGAAGACTTGGGCACGTACTAGATGATTGACGTAGACTGGGGCACGTGCTAGATGATTGATGTAGACTGAGGCACGTGCTAGATGATTGATGTAGACTTGGGCACGTACTAGATGATTGACGTAGACTGGGGCACGTGCTAGATGATTGATGTAGACTGGGACACTTGCTAGATGATTGATGTAGGCTTGGACACGTGCTAGATGATTGATGTTGACTTGGACACGTACTAGATGATTGATGTAGACTTGGACACGTACTACATGATTGATGTAGACTTGGGCACGTGCTAGATGATTGATGTAGACTTGGGCACGTGCTAGATGATTTATGTAGACTTGGACACGTACTAGATGATTGATGTAGACTGGAACACGTGCTAGATGATTGATGTAGACTGGGACACGTGCTAGATGATTGATAATGACTGAGACACGCGCTAGATGATTGATGTAGACTGGGACACGTGCTAGATGGTTGATATAGACTGAGACGCGTACTAGATGATTGACGTAGACTGAGACACGTACTGTATGATTGATGTAGACTGAGACACGTGCTAGATGATTGATGTAGACTGAGACAAGGTATTTGGAAGTCCCCATTTGTGTAGTGAGATGAACACGACGCCAGCGCATCACTCGGGGTGTATTGTACTTTACTCGGTCTCACGGGAAATATGAACGTTCGCCTCCTTGCTTCAGACTAACGCTTATTCTCTAAACAATTTTCTAAGCATCTCCATTCTATGGAAAAGAAGATACTGAGAGATGGCCAATGCATGACAGTCAGGGTTGGGCGGAAGGGAAGTAATACTCACCCTTGCTTGTGTATTCCGAGATGGGAGCGCGAAGCATGTACTGGTTGAAGCGTCGTAAAATCTTTAAATAATAATCGGAATAAAAGCGACGCAATATCCATAAGAACTCTCTGTCAAAGACAGGCTCGATTGTGCGATTCCGACTTTGTCATGTGAGTATGAGTTTATGAATCACTATCACACAGTGATGATACCAGGTGTTCGCGAAAAAGTCAGCGTGTCCCGCCCCATCAATGGCACCCGTCGCAAACACATGCTAAGGCAAGTCAGATTTTCACCTACAAACAATCCCACGGGAACATATGGTACAAGTCAAAGTAGAGAATTGCATCGGACATTTGTGTGGATATATTATCACATGTCTAACACACAACGTTAGCTTTACTGAGGCCTTGAATGTTGTAACCTTGATCAAACAACTTCTGAGCAAGAGTCACATGACGCTCTTTGAAATCTCTGTGGAAAGAACATGCTCGCTCGTATATCATATGTTGTGAAATGTAGACAACAGGGGCTGGAGCCGCTGGAATATTGCTTGACATGAAGGGGAAGTTGACTGCTGGAAAATTGAAATCATGTCTGTCTGACATTTTCAGTGGACTCTCCTTTCCATATCACGGTTTGAAGGAATGTCTGTCGTTCACTTTGAACAAATATCTTGTACTGTCTGTGGTGTGGCTCGTACAGTGGGTCCTGCGGAGTTAGATGGTGCAGGCGAGTGTGCGGTGGATACGTTTGCATTACGGGAATTGTAGATGAATCACATGTAAGTCTATACAGGTTCATGTGGGTGTGATTTGATAACGCCCCCTAGAGCTAGTGTATTGATAACACGCCTAAGGACTACAGCGTCTTGATAACACCTAGAGCTACATGAAAATGATAATACGCAGAACTAAAACCTCTTATAGCGAGTGATTTGATAAGACCTAGATCCACACTTATATCTACAGTGTATTGATAATAACTAGTTCGCAACTCTTTTTTTAAACTATTCCGTGAACAATCTATACATATGTTTTACCAGGAACGGCATTCCACTCTAGAAAACAGTTCAAGGTATGACTTGTTTAGAACTGTTAAGAGTCTTGTTCAACCAGAAAAATACCTGTATACATTAGCATCAAGACCCTTCGCGTCCATTTATTCAATTTAGGCTCGGATGGTTAGATCTCATGATAAATGAAGGAAGAAAAATGTCCACTGAAAAGTCAAAGAGGTTATACCCATTACGTCATTCAGCTATAGAAAATGAAAGTCATTTTTTTTGTATGTCCTTATTATTGTGATCTGAGAAATAAGTTTATACCAGAACGCTATCTGTCAAATCATCCTGTACCTGCTTTTATTTCTCTTCTTTCTTCAAAAGATGCTGCTGTCATATTAAAACTGGCTACATATGTTAAAAATGCAATTTTCCCCAGAAACAAATTGTTCAACATGAGTATATATCCAAATATGTAAAACTACTTACTTGAAACTCTTTTGTATATGGACCGGAGGCCTTACATGCAATACATATCTTTGACCCCTTGATTGATCCAGTGTATTGTTAACACCTCCAGCCGCGAGTGTATTGACATACAATCTTCTACACAGAGGGGATGAATGTATTAACGCGCTCTCTCCATGTTTCAGGTACTGACGAGCCCCGTGCAACGATATGGCAACACGGATCCCCATCACTAAGGACTCGTTTGGATTTGAAGACCGTCAGGACGACATTTGGCAGAAGATGGAGCACGACATGGAGCGCAGGAGGAAAGAGTGGGAGAATGAGATTGAGAAGATGTCCACGGACTTCTTCTCCATGAGGCCAGACCGGACACAACGCAGCTTCGACCCCATACAGGACAGGATCGGCATCGCCGAAAGCCACGACGACGGCAAGAGCGTCATCGAGAAGAACGAGCATGGCCAACCCGTGTTCAAGGCAAGGTTCAATGTCAAGGACTACAAACCGGAAGAGGTCAATGTCAAGATGGACGCCAATAAGATCATCGTCCAGGCCAAGCATGAAGAAAACAGTGGAGGGGCGTCTGTGAGTCGGGAATACTGCCGAGAGGTCAACATTCCGAAAGAGATCGACCCCTTGGCATTGCAGTGCAGCATCTCGCCCGAGGGGAAATTGACGGTAGAAGCACCTGTCCCCGTTCCCGACTATCAGAAGGATGCGCCCGTACCAGCCCCCGACTATCAGAGGGAGGCACCCGTACCAGCCCCCGACTATCAGAGGGAGGCGCCCGTACCAGCCCCCGACTATCAGAGGGAGGCCCATGTACCAGCCCCCGACTATCTGAGAGAAGCACCGGGTACGCCAACTAAGATTAGCATCAGCCAATCATCTAACGCTTCTCACTCCCCATATCATTCAGGGACGTCTTCCCCAGCATCGTTCCAACATCCACAACAGCAGCAAAGAGTTTCTACACCGCCTTATAAGCCCCAGCCTACACAATTCACACCGCCACCTGTCAATCAACCCCAGCAATTCCAGTCTCCCCCCTCGTCAGGTCAGTTCCAACAGCCATCTTCTGGCTCATCGTATGGTCAATATCCGTCACATCCGGGATCTTCTGGGCAGTTCCAAGTTCCTCCCTATCAAGGACAGAGCCATTCTAAAACACCTCAAGCTTTCAACACATCTGTCGTCAATTCCTCATCCACACAACGCACAGCATCCCCCGTGGGCTTCCCAGAGAAGAAGTTCAAGGTCGAAGCCGACATTGAGGATTTCAACCCGGAAGATCTTACCGTGAAGACCCAGGATAAGAAGATCGTTATCACAGCGCGGAAAGAGGTCAAAACGGGCAATAGGACGTCAACCCGCGAGATGAGCCGAGAGTTCGCCATCCCTGAGAACGTGGACCCGTACAGCGTCAAGGCCTTTTTCACCGAGGGCGGGAAACTCATCCTGGAGGCTCCGTACAGGCAGACGACTTCCGGTCAGTATTCCAATGGCGGGGGAAATCACTCCAGTTCGCCCATGACTGGCAGGTAAATATGTGTTGCCTGGAAACTTTGTTAAAGAGAAGGATATTATTTTCCGAAGGACGAATGACTTGTGGACAACATTCTGGCTGTTTGAACGAGGTGTGAGATGACGTTGACGGGTGGACACAGGAAGCAGGACCGCCGTGCCATGGTGCTTGTGTATGTGCAATCAAGATTTCAGAGATTCCAGATCGCCCTGTTGATCACGTGGTACCAATAACTTTCACTGCAGATGATATTTTTTGATGCAACCGAATAACCAAAGCAATCACGAGTTATTGCCCTTTGATCATTAGTGATGTAGTTGATGTTGTACCGTGGTGCATTGCTTCTTGCTGTTCCTTCAAGAGTAATCTCACTTGATCGAACATAATTTTGTGGCACCGCAGATCATATTTTGTTGATACCTTTAAAACATTTGCTATGACTCCATATAAATTATACATACGATAACTTATTTAGACAGACAACACAAAGGTCAGTGACCTCATGTGATCAGTAGCCAAGTATTAAGTCATCATGGTTCGGACACATTGCTATGGTGAACATATAATATTGTCCGTGTATTAGACATTGTATTTTTATTACCGTGTTTAGTCAGTCCTGTTTGTATCCCTTGATTGTAGCCCTAGACTCAGAAGGATGAGTGTGCACGCAGTTTTGTAAACACATTAAATATGTTCAATGTCTGAAGATTATGATATAATAGAAAAGTTGTTTTAGGAAAATATTAATCCAGCCGAGAAAGACACATGCATACATTTTTCGCCTTGGTTTCGACACCATGCTTGCTTTAAAAGAATATCCAATAGAAAGTGATAGATCTAATATATGTGTCACGACGTATCTGCTACTACTCGCCTGAAAAGGTAAGATCTGTTGATATGAGCTCTAGGTCTGTTACTGGCTGGGTTTATGAAGTACAGGCTATATTATGTTAGGTCTATGGAGATTAGATCTGTTAATTACTGCTTCGGAGTCAGATACTGCTAGACCAATCACTATAGACCTGACACTGCTAGGTAGAAGATCTGCTGCTACTGCTGCTATTAATGTTGACACTGCTAGGTATTAGATCTGTTACTGTGAGACCGTTAATGTTGACGCTGCCAGAGATGAGATGTGACACTGCTATTGATTAGAACCGTGCGACTCCCGAAGCGGGTCATGGGGGGGGGGGGGGGGGGGGGGGGGGGCTGCAGCCGAGGTGTCACGTGCTCGCTGCTGGGACAGGTGGCAGCACTCAGACAATATCTTATGCATTTCGTTATTTAGTTTACGTCCAACTGCAGATGCCTTTATTATATTATTTGATACATCTATTGTCACCTTTTGTAAATAAAGTATGTATTCCATGTGTCATGTGTGTCTGTGATGGTGCGAGGCTCTGATGCCAGACGACCAGCAGACGACCAGCAGACGACTAGCAGACGGCAGACGGCAGACGACCAGCAGACGACCAACAGACGACCAGCAGTCGACCAGCAGAAGATCAGCAGACGACCAGCAGACGACCAGCAGACGACCAGCAGAAGATCAGCAGACGACCAGCAGACGACCAGCAGAAGACCAGCAGAAGACCAGCAGACGACCAGCAGACGACCAGCAGACGACCAGCAGAAGACCAGCAGACGACCAGCAGGTGACCAGCAGTCAACAAACAACAGACCACCAGCAGATATGACCGTTACACTACAGGCAGATATGACCGTTACACTACAGGCAGATATGACCGTTACACTACAGGCAGATATGACTGTTACGCTCCAGGTAGATATGAGTGAATGAGTTGGGTTTTACGTCGCTTTTAACAGTATTCCAGTTATATCACGGCGTGTCAGCTTAATGTGGGAGGAAAGCCCGAAGTGATGCACCCACGAGCACGGGTATGGTGCTGATAAACCTAGAAACATAATCGGGGCGAACCGGGATTCGAACCCACAATCATAGGTTTATGGCGTGTCCAAGGGACGCAACTCTGCACAGCGAATCGCGGCGCCTCAAACGACTGGGCAACCCGTGCCCCCCTCAGCAACCGCCGCCGCTGCAAACCAGGCCTAGCAACAGCACACATTACACTGTGTGGTCAGTCGATGGGAACACGTTGTTAACACTCGTCACACCAGTTAAAGACACATGCAGATACTTACTTGGATTTCAACTACATGGATGTAACGGCTGCTTTATCGGAACAATGTATGCATCATACAAATAATTTTACGGACGTTTGTAACTGGTGGCCATGTTCAAGGATCGTTTCAAAGCAACTGTTTGAGGCGTCAGTAAAATCTGGTATGCGTTTCGTCAAAAAGAATACTGTTATTGCGTTGTTTGTTTGTGGTTAAACATATTCCATGTACTCTACAACACCCGGTGGTGCACAGACTCCATGTAGTGTACAACACCCGGTGGTACACAGACTCCATGTACTGTACAACACAGACTCCATGTACTGTACAACACAGACTCCATGTACTGTATGACACAGACTCCATGTACTGTATGACACAGACTCCATGTACTGTACAACACAGACTCCACGTACTGTATGACACAGACTCCATGTATTGTATGACACAGACTCCATGTACTGTATGACACAGACTCCATGTACTGTACAACACAGACTCCATGTACTGTACAACACAGACTCTATGTACTGTACAACACAGACTCCATGTACTGTACAACACAGACTCCATGTACTGTACAACACAGACTCCATGTACTGTACAACACAGACTCCATGTACTGTATGGCACATACTCCATGTACTGTATGACACAGACTCCATGTACTGTATGACACTGACTCTATGTACTGTATGACACAGACTCCATGTACTGTATGACACAGACTCCATGTACTGTACAACACAGACTCCATGTACTGTATGACACAGACTCCATGTACTGTATGACACAGACTCCATGTACTGTATGACACAGACTCCATGTACTGTATGACACAGACTCCATGTACTGTATGACACTGACTCTATGTACTGTATGACACAGACTCCATGTACTGTACAACACAGACTCCATGTACTGTATGACACAGACTCCATGTACTGTACAACACAGACTCCATGTGCTGTACAACACAGACTCTATGTACTGTACAACACAGACACCATGTACTGTACAACACAGACTCTATGTACTGTACAACACAGACTCTATGTACTGTACAACACAGACTCTATGTACTGTACAACACAGACTCCATGTACTGTACAACACAGACTCTATGTACTGTACAACACAGACTCCATGTACTGTATGACACAGACTCCATGTACTGTACAACACAGACTCCATGTACTGTACAACACAGACTCCATGTACTGTATGACACAGACTCTATGTACTGTACAACACAGACTCCATGTACTGTATGACACAGACTCCATGTACTGTACAACACAGACTCCATGTACTGTACAACACAGACTCCATGTACTGTACAACACAGACTCCATGTACTGTATGACACAGACTCCATGTACTGTACAACAAAGACTCCATGTACTGTACAACACAGACTCCATGTACTGTACAACACAGACTCCATGTACTGTATGACACAGACTCCATGTACTGTACAACACAGACTCCATGTACTGTACAACACAGACACCATGTACTGTACAACACAGACTCCATGTACTGTATGACACAGACTCCATGTACTGTATGACACAGACTCCATGTACTGTACAACACACACTCCATATACTGTACAACACTGACTCTATGTACTGTATGACACAGACTCCATGTACTGTATGACACAGACTCCATGTACTGTATGACACAGACTCCATGTACTGTACAACACAGACTCCATGTACTGTATGACACAGACTCCATGTACTTTACAACACAGACTCCATGTACTGTACAACACAGACTCCATGTACTGTATGACACAGACTCCATGTACTGTATGACACAGACTCCATGTACTGTATGACACAGACTCCATGTACTGTATGACACTGACTCCATGTACTGTATGACACAGACTCCATGTACTGTATGACACTGACTCTATGTACTGTATGACACAGACTCCATGTACTGTATGACACAGACTCCATGTACTGTACAACACAGACTCCATGTACTGTATGACACAGACTCCATGTACTGTATGACACTGACCCTATGTACTGTATGACACAGACTCCATGTACTGTATGACACAGACTCCATGTACTGTACAACACAGACTCCATGTACTGTATGAAACATACTCCATGTACTGTACAACACTGACTCCATGTACTGTATGACACAGACTCCATGTACTGTACAACACAGACTCCATGTACTGTACAACACAGACTCCATGTACTGTATGACACAGACTCCATGTACTGTATGACACAGACTCCATGTACTGTACAACACAGACTCCATGTACTGTATGACAAAGACTCCATGTACTGTATGACACAGACTCCATGTACTGTATGACACAGACTCCATGTACTGTACAACACAGACTCCATGTACTGTATGACACAGACTCCATGTACTGTATGACACAGGCTCCATGTACTGTATGACACAGACTCCATGTACTGTATGACACAGACTCCATGTACTGTATGACACAGACTCTATGTACTGTACAACACAGACTCTATGTACTGTACAACACAGACTCCATGTACTGTACAACACAGACACCATGTACTGTACAACACAGACTCCATGTACTGTATGACACAGACTCCATGTACTGTATGACACAGACTCCATGTACTGTACAACACACACTCCATGTACTGTACAACACTGACTCTATGTACTGTATGACACAGACTCCATGTACTGTATGACACTGACCCTATGTACTGTATGACACAGACTCCATGTACTGTATGACACAGACTCCATGTACTGTACAACACAGACTCCATGTACTGTATGACACAGACTCCATGTACTGTACAACACAGACTCCATGTACTGTACAACACAGACTCTATGTACTGTACAACACAGACACCATGTACTGTACAACACAGACTCTATGTACTGTACAACACAGACTCTATGTACTGTACAACACAGACTCTATGTACTGTACAACACAGACTCCATGTACTGTACAACACAGACTCTATGTACTGTACAACACAGACTCCATGTACTGTATGACACAGACTCCATGTACTGTACAACACAGACTCCATGTACTGTACAACACAGACTCCATGTACTGTATGACACAGACTCTATGTACTGTACAACACAGACTCCATGTACTGTATGACACAGACTCCATGTACTGTACAACACAGACTCCATGTACTGTACAACACAGACTCCATGTACTGTACAACACAGACTCCATGTACTGTATGACACAGACTCCATGTACTGTACAACAAAGACTCCATGTACTGTACAACACAGACTCCATGTACTGTACAACACAGACTCCATGTACTGTATGACACAGACTCCATGTACTGTACAACACAGACTCCATGTACTGTACAACACAGACACCATGTACTGTACAACACAGACTCCATGTACTGTATGACACAGACTCCATGTACTGTATGACACAGACTCCATGTACTGTACAACACACACTCCATATACTGTACAACACTGACTCTATGTACTGTATGACACAGACTCCATGTACTGTATGACACAGACTCCATGTACTGTATGACACAGACTCCATGTACTGTACAACACAGACTCCATGTACTGTATGACACAGACTCCATGTACTTTACAACACAGACTCCATGTACTGTACAACACAGACTCCATGTACTGTATGACACAGACTCCATGTACTGTATGACACAGACTCCATGTACTGTATGACACAGACTCCATGTACTGTATGACACTGACTCCATGTACTGTATGACACAGACTCCATGTACTGTATGACACTGACTCTATGTACTGTATGACACAGACTCCATGTACTGTATGACACAGACTCCATGTACTGTACAACACAGACTCCATGTACTGTATGACACAGACTCCATGTACTGTATGACACTGACCCTATGTACTGTATGACACAGACTCCATGTACTGTATGACACAGACTCCATGTACTGTACAACACAGACTCCATGTACTGTATGAAACATACTCCATGTACTGTACAACACTGACTCCATGTACTGTATGACACAGACTCCATGTACTGTACAACACAGACTCCATGTACTGTACAACACAGACTCCATGTACTGTATGACACAGACTCCATGTACTGTATGACACAGACTCCATGTACTGTACAACACAGACTCCATGTACTGTATGACAAAGACTCCATGTACTGTATGACACAGACTCCAT